AGAATGCCCCAGATACATACAGAACAAAGACAGAATCTCTGGGCACAATTGACAGTGGGGAACTCACATAAAGTTGATGACATTATGATGATGACAAGGAGGACTGGTCAAACCACAATAACCTGTTCCTACCCCTTGAGTGCAAACTGGAAGGGAAAACGATTTAAGGTACAGTTTTTAAAAAATATGCCAGACAGTCTGATTCCTCTCCTGGGAGAAAATTTGTTATGTAAATTAAACGCACAGATAACATGCTCACCCAAAAAGTAGCAACTTCATTTGCAAGTGCCTCCCAGGAAAAGAAAACCAAACCTGCTCTGCTGGAGGTCTCCTAGAGATGAATAAGGCATTTTAGTCCAAAGGGACACTGAGAAAAGTGATCACTTTTATCTTACCCAAGATTTTATTTTAGGAGAAAATAACTTGTCCCCAGGAGGAAGAGGATAACCCCTTAACAAAGAGACATTAATGGGGATTCTGGAAATCCATTCTCTTCTGGTCAGTTGTTTAAAGTGTGAATTGAGTCAACTTTTCCAGATCTCCTAGTCTGCCTGTTAGAAAATTTTCCCACTGATGAGTAACAATTTGTGCAAGGCTTGAGAACTTTAACAGTTGTGATGTCCATTACCTTTAGGATTTTTCTTTGTTAGAGAAACAGATAGCTTACAATTTTGACCAGGCTTAATTTTTTATGAATAACCTGAATATATGTGACTAGAGCTATGTATACATCTGAAACTAAATATGTTTGAACCTTATCTAAATGTGTTGAAAAAGTTTATAAAATAAAAGTTCATATAGATTTTACCAATAAGTGCTATCTTTTATAAATTGCATCTGACATAATAGGGCCACACTGCCATTTGAGAAACTGGCTTATATCTGTCTGCTTTAACTAAGTCTAGTTCTGATTATTAACACTGTTCCCTAAATGTGTAAGAGATTTAAGGCTATCCTTTGATTTTTGCTGGTACTGCTAAATTTTGCAAACCTGTAATGATCTATGAATTCTGAATTTTACTGTAAAAAATTAAACCTAGTTAATATAAGGACATCTGTTTCATGGTGATGCTAACTATTAATCTTTGTGTATTAAATATACTCATTTCTTCTAGTATAGAAGTTTTAAAATAAAAGCTTAGAAAAGCACTTTATCGAGTGAATGTTCACCAAATTAAAGTTGTTTGAAATGGTAACTTTAAACTTAAAGAAATAACAAATTTAATTGGAAATTTATTTATGTCATTTAATATTCTGTAACAGGACCAGTTATCAATAAGATGTATGTAAAATTTTATGTTACGGGGCTGGGGATGTGGCTCAAGTGGTAGCGAGCTCAACCAGGTTCGATCCTCAGCACCACATACAAACAAATATGTTGTGTCCACCGAAAACTAAAAAACAAATATTAAAAAATTATCTCCTCTCTCTCTTTAAAAAAATTATGTTACTTTTAACATTGGGGTAGAAATTTAAATGTATTTTTATTTTTAAAAAATATTTATTTGTTTCTTTAGGTGTAGATAGACACAACACAAAGCCTTTATTTTTATGTGGAGCTGAGGATCGAACCCGGTTCCCGCTCATGCTAGGCGAGCACTTTACCCCTGAGCCACAATTCCAGCCCTTTAAATGTATTTTTAAATTAATGAGAGCCTGATGTGTTTAAAGGTAGACATGGTGAAACATAAAAATATTTTTACCCACAGAAAAGGGTAAAAATCTCTCTAAGCTTTTCTTTGATTCACATTTCATATGTAATATGTTACTTGTGAAGACTCTATATGTTAATGTTTTGCAGAAACACTCCTTCAAGAACAAACCACCTCAGTTACTTTGAGGTAATAAGCCATCACCTACGGGACAGATGGGATATAAGGCTAACTTCCAGTAGTAATACAGATCCAATTAAATAAAAGGATTTAATGACTGTAAGGTTATACACATTTAAGTTAAATCTCAATTCTCTTACTTTAAGACTGGTGAGACTGGCTTGCTGGATGTTTAAGACCAAGGCTTAAAGATACAGGCTAATAAAGGAGCCAAGAAAACCAATATTTGGCTTCTGCCCTCTGAGTCAGCCGAAACCCAGGGAACAAGAGACCTTCTCTACAGAGCTTTGCAAGTCTGAGTCACATGACCTCCCAATCTGGGAGATTAATGAGACCACTGGAGAACTGAAAGCCAAATAGTGCACCTGCTGCAAATGAGGAAGGTCATGGAGAAGAAAATCATCCCTGATGCTTCCAAGGGAAGCCATCTCATCACAGAGATCCTACGTAGCAGGTGACACTAAAAAGTTAAGAACTTGCTTCTAACTTTGCCAAGACGAAGCCCTGTTGTGGTGAGCCGCCTCTGCCACTTATGCAGATTATGGTCGCCATTACAAGATGGCGCTGGCTCCGCTGTGATATGTGACAAACAACTCCTTATTTGGGAGAGTTGGCGCATGGTTTTTCAGCACCCTATGAAAAAGTTCCACGTGGCAGCTTCGCATTGGGGCTTGAGATGCTATATTAAGGCTGGGAGGGGCATCCGAGAGATTAGCAGAAGAAATATCAAGGGCCTGAATAAACCGCTGAAAGAAGATTCCCGAGTTGCGTCTTCCTTGCGGGCAAGGGGTCGCGACACCCTGTGGGATCTCAGCTGACTCTGAACAGCAGATAGAAACAGAGTCAATTTGACTGGCTTGGCCTTAAACACCTAGCAAACACACTTATATCCAAAATGCAGCCATACCTGAGCATTTAAAAAGAAAAACGATAATACTTTTAATAGATTTTAAGATGTTCACTTATGTCAATCACACATCCCTGATGCCTTCCCAAATTCTGAGTTTTTTTCCTTTGGGAGGCTCATAATTATCCCTGCCTACCAAATTCAGATTGACCTCTGTACCCTAATCTTCCTTACTCCTCCTCAGACTGATGATTTACCTCACAACAAAAGCCTATCCATTCCAATAATAGCACACACCAGATGTGAGAAACCCCCCAAATTATTGCCTTACCCCTAGGGCTAAGAACAACTCTGGGATTGGTACAGGAGCAGCAGAATTAGGAGCCTGTATTCACTACAAAAATCATAAGTACAGGTTATTACATATATCCAACAGATCACTGATTTGGTACTGACTTTTCAAATCAGTTGGACTCCCTGACATCCTGCGAAATCAGGGAAGAATGTTCTTTTTATGTAAACCAATTGGGAGTGGAATGAGATTAGGTTAAACAGCTGCAGAACCACCTGGAATACAAAAAATAGATCTGACTCAGCAGACTTTTTGAATCTGGATTGGTGATTTTCAATATGATAAGTTAAAAAATGTACCCACCTTAATAGTTCCTTTCACAAGGAATTCTATCTCATGGCATATGTATTAAATCCTATGTTTTATTGCCTAGACCTATTCAAGTACACTTTAATGTCTTACAAAATATTATGTTGAATGTGAGAATTGTGTGCTCCAAAAATGTGTCAAACTATATGGCAAAGTTTAGAACAAAATATTATGATTCTCAAAAGGCCAATAGCTACCTGCTCCTTGAAAAAGTGCTAAATATTTTATCTCATTGAGAATAGCTGGAATTGTTATGTTGGCTGGGATAATACCTTGTGCATCTACACAAGGTATTTTACTGAGACCTGCAAACTCAAGTACATATTGATCAGGAAATTTTAAGTAAAATTCAACAAGTAAATGACTCTATTATTTGGCCAGGAGAACAAGTACAAAATTTATGATGGGCTCAGAGACTTCAATGTCATTAATGTTACCCAATTTTGTATTATTAGAGTTTCTTAGAATGATATTGAGATTCAATGGCAAAATGTAAGTAATCACCTAATGGGACTTGATCCTTTTCATAATGTTTCTTTGGATGTGTTGAAATTACAATCTCAGGTTCTGACTGTGGTTGATGTAAAGGCATCTGCTTTTAGCAATGAAAAATATGGGGCAATATGGCTGAAGCAATCTCTTCCCCTAACCTTTTAAATAGTTTTCTATACATGTAGCTGGGTTACTAGCTATAACTATACTGTTAAACTTGTCTCTGTTCTTGTTTTGCATAGTCTGTGAAGAATGATGGAAATGATTAAAACATCAGGATAATATGATTCCAAGAAACAGTTTCTTAGGAAGATGACTTGCCCAACCCAATCCACCTCCCAGGAAACATGTCCTCCCATGCCCATTGCCTGACTTTTTGTAAAGGAGGACTTCACTCATGACAATCTGAAGCTCCTCCCACATATATGCCACTCTTCAACCTCAACCAACAGGGTCTCCATGTTCTTTTCCAGAACTCTGAAACTTCCCAGAACTCAAAGTCAGGGGAGGTCGCTGACTTTGTGCCTTCTCAGCAGGAAGCAGCCAGACTTGATATTGATGCCCCAATTTATCATACCCCTTTCAGAGTCTGAAATGAAGGATATGAAAAATAAGTTCAAGAATATTTACCCTAAGCTTTTGTCATTTAAAATCCCAGGACCTGGGCTGGGGATACAGCTCAGCTGGTGGAGTTCTTGCCTCCAATACACAAGTCCCTGAGTCCAATCCACAGCACCATACACACACACACACACACACACACACACACACACACACACACATATCCCAGGCTTTATCAGAGTGAATGAACTCAAAAAAAAATTCCACTTGACTGGCACCTCACCTCCATCCTAGATACCCATTAATACATAATGGGTCACCTGGTGCCAATATAATAAGCCCCAAGTAGTTCCCTATTTTCATTATTGTCCCACTCTAATGGATCAGCAGGGCCCCAATACAATGGACCCCAGGTATTGTTTTTCTGTCCCACCCTAAATAAAGCCTATATAATCCATTCCTTTGCTTTAGCCTGCTGCCATTTTCTACCCTAAAAATGAGCCATGCCAGGGTTGGGGCTGTAGCTCAGTGGTAGAGCGCCTGCCATGCATGTGTGAAGCACTGGGTTTGAGCCTCAGCATTATATAAAAATAAATAAAGAGGAGAGATGCACGTCAGCAAAGTTGGATTGGATGCTGCTGGCAAGACGACCATTCTGTATAAACTGAAGTTAGGGGAGATAGTCACCACCATTCCTACCATTGGTTTTAATGTGGAAACAGTAGAGTATAAGAACATTTGTTTCACAGTATGGGATGTTGGTGGTCAAGATAAAATTAGGCCTCTCTGGAGGCATTACTTCCAGAATACCCAGGGTCTTATTTTTGTGGTAGATAGCAATGATCGTGAAAGAATTCAGGAAAGAGCCCAAGTACTGCAGAAAATGCTTGAGGAAGATGAGCTGCAAGATGCAGTGCTGCTGCTTTTTGCAAACAAACAGGATTTGTCAAATGCTATGGCTATCAGCGAAATGACAGATAAATTAGGCCTTCAGTCTCTCCGTAACAGAACATGGTATGTTCAAGCCACTTGTGCCACACAAGGAACTGATCTGTATGAGGGACTTGATTGGCTGTCAAACGAGCTTTCAAAACGTTAAGTGAAACTGGATATCTAACCAAGGACACATTTTGATAGAATTGGTCTAGGCTTGTTACAACAAAATTAGTTTGCATCTTGGTTATTAAACTGTATCTGGGACTGGTTTGGGCAGAATATTACAGCGTTTAAACTTATTGTGTTGCCAATTATTGTTTACCAAGTATAATGTTGTTCTTTAGCAATATGCTTGGTTTTGAAGAAATTCTTGGGGAAAAAAGTATCCTCTTTTAATTTTGACTTTCTTTAAACCTAAAAATGCCTGGACATAGCTATTGTGACACCTTTAAATAAATCAGTTTTGAATGTTTTTTTTTGAGCCCACAACAAATAATGTTTAAAAGTTATCCCCTTGCTACTTTACTGATACCTGTATCATTCCTGGGACAGTCTGCTGATTTGAACATGTAGCATTCCATTTGTATTTATTTCTATCCCTTGCCAAAAAGATTTTCTAATACTGCTTGTACCAGCCAGGGAAATGCTCCAAAACACTATTCAGCTCTCTTGCACTGAGGAACTTGACTCCTGGCTTCCATCAGCCAAACTTCACCTTGGTGTGGTTTGGATTTGATAGCTAATTCTGTGCTGGTTGCAAAGAGTTCATATTGAGATGGCTTTTAATAATCAGCAGATTGTCTTTCTTTATATTATTATCTTCTTTATGTTGCATGTTGCTTTTGGTATCAGCCTGACTCTTTGCCCAGTATATGATAGTTCTGCTGGTGTTTTGTTTATTGATGAACATGTCTTCATTAAGAGTTTTTTGAAAATTCAGCAAACACAATAAGTTTTCTTCATAATCCATTTGAAATTATTCCTAATAAAATGATAAAATATAAAAAAATAAAGATACTGTGTCCAACTACTATATATATATATATATATACATATACATATATATATATATATATACACACACACACACACACACACATATACACATATATATATCTATATCATGCCAAGGTTCTACCAATTGACTCCACCACCGAATACTGCATAAACAAAAGACTGCTGATCTGAGTTTTATTTCCAGTCTCCTACATTTGTCATGTATGCATCTTTTGTCCTAACAAAGGTGCTAGTATACTCGGCATGGAGTGCACACTTGTATCCCAGATACTTGGGAGGCTGAGGTAAGAGGACCACCAGTTGGAGCCCAGCCTGGGCAATTTAACAAGAATTTGTCTGAAAATTAAACAAAAAGGGATGAGGGTGTATGTAGCTCAATGGTGTGGTAGAGCAAATGCAGAGAGTATGTGAGGCCCTGGTTTCAGTAATCTCCAGTACTAAACATAAATCAATAATAAAATAAATTAAAACATGTTAACCATCAATTGAAATAATCCTTTGCTTCTTTTATTTTTATTTAATTTTATTTTTTTTATAATTTGGTCTTTCTTTTTTTAAAAAATATTTATTTTTTAGTTGTAGTTGGACATAATACCTTTATTTCACTTATTTATTTTTATGTGGTGCTGAGAATCGAATCCAGGGTCTTGCACGTGCGAGGCAAGCACTCTACTGCTGAGCCACAGCCCCAGAGAATCCTCTGTTTCTTTTAAAATTTCTTTTTCCACAAATGGAATGTTAAATTCTTTAAAACTTATCTGCCTTGTTTACCAATGTATTTCCTGAGCCACTTAATAGCTCAGCAACTCTGAAAAAAAAAAAAAAAGTAAGTAGGGTGTGGGGCCTCCAAACAAGGTCAGAAGAACACCAAGCTCAGGAGGCTCTCACACACTCCTGCTGGTTTAGGGCATTATCTGAGTGGGGAGTGTTGGGAGTGGACTCAAAACAGTTTATTCCAGGAGTCCATGGAGTGGGCAGGCCAGGCAGGGGTCCAGGAGCAAGCAGGTATAAGCAGGTATAAGTGGAGCCTCAGTGAGCTGAGCCCAGCAGAAAAGACAGTGTGAGCAAGGGCTTAGCCAGGACCAAGCAGGTCCCTCTGCATCTCCACCTCACACAGTCCTGTCCTTTGGATACTGCTGGTTATTGGTGAAGAGTCCTGCTTCCTCACAAGTTGAAGTTTGAACATTAGAGAAGCATACTGAGGCCAGCATATAAAGCAGGGCTTATTTAAAAAGGGGTAACAGAGACTTCTCCTAGGAGGGAAACGGGGGCCATAGCTAGTATCCTGGTATCCCAAGAAGCAAGGTGTTCTGCCCTTTTTATATGTCCTAGGCTTCCTTTGTTCTCCTGCCCTCTTCCTCTTATCTTTCTCCTTCCCAAGTAAGTGAAGAGGCCCAGGAATGCTCTGTGGGATGGCCAAAGGTGGGAAAGAGGTGGGTTGAAGGGGGAAGAGCAGGATGGCAGAGCCCAGGACACCTTAATCAACAACCTTAGAGCTCCCTGTAGGGAGGGGCTATTCCTGGGACAGGTTACCTTAGCCACAGGTTGGAGCAGGGGCAGGGTCTTGATAAGGGTGGAGGAAGGGCTCTGAAGGAATTAACATTTCAACCCATCAGGGACAGTCTCTAACTTCCCAACTCAAAATTGGCCTCCTAGATCTGACCTGACTCCATTTACATATCTCTACTGACTGCCTGTCTGATTTTGCTTCAGTTTTTCTTGTAATCTTCACAAATGACAAAGTAATGTAACTGAAAGCTGGGTCTTTGTCACCAGTGTCAATTCATGCCAGTTTAATAATGAAGACACGGTTTTGAGAAAAGAGTAAAAGTAGTTTTATTACTTTGCAATGAAATGAGAAACACAAGGGACTAGTGTCCCAGAGGCTGGATTCTGCCCATAGGGAAAACAGAGGGCTTTTAAAGAAGGTTTTCAAAGGCTACTTTCCAGGTGTGTCCTGGAGCTATTCATTTCCTAGATCCTCTGGTAGATATTTTCTTCCTGTGGAGCACAGATAACTCAGGGTAATCTTGTTCCCTGACTCCAGGTTAAGGAGGCAGGAAGGAAAAAAGAAAATAAGTTTGCTTTAAAGAATAAATCTCAGAACAAGGAGAAGTATAATAAAATGGAGAAGTGGAGCACTGTTACAATTATTCAAACTGTAGAACCCCGATGCAAAGAAAAGACCACCAACTCCAATTTTAAATCAAATTAAAACAAGCTTGTATTTGTGTACACATAAAGAACTGATCAATGGCTGTCTCTTCTAACATGGGCTAGATAGCAGCCCCCCAGCTCTCCAGGTAAAAGGTTTTATAGCACAAAAAGTTACAAAGGGGGGTGTCTAACAGGATTTTGACAAGCATATATAAAGGCAGATAGTACGTTAACGATCTACAGTGTATGATGGTTCAATTTAGGGAGTAAATTCAGATCTCAACATCAGAATTTATGAGGCACCGCTGAGGTTTCAGAGAGGGTTGTTTCTGATCAGGGAAAGCCAGGCATGGGTGAGTTCAGGCACAGGCTGGAATGCCAAACCAGTTTAGAAAGCATAGTAATTTATAGTAAAACAGAAATTAACTTGTTTATGACTTTGTGTGGAGATGACTCCCAATCTTAAGATAGAATTAGCTGGGTTCATAAAAGCCAAAAATAGTAGCTGCAACTCAGGAGGATCTCCAGGCTGGAGGCAACCACCAGCAAGGAGAAGAATGTCACATTCCAGGACACCACCTTGGATGGCTCCTCACAGAAATTCCAGTCTTCAGGGTGGCTCAAGTATTCATCTCTGTGAATGAGTAGGGTCAAGAGATCTGAGGAGGAAATGCAGCAACCTTCCCCCACCCCATCTTCTGAGCACACACCTAATGGTATTTTCTTTCTTTCTTTTCTTTCCTGGGGATTGAAGTAGGGACACTGGATCACTGAGCCACATTCCCAGCCCTATTTTGTATTTTATTCAGAGACTGAGTTGCTCAGCGCCTTGCTTTTGCTGTGGTTGTCTTGGAACTCTTGATCCTCCTGCCTCAGCCTCCCAAGCCACTGGGATTACAGGCGCCCCACTTTGAATGGGATTTTCAAAGGGCTAGTTAGTCCCACAGGAGGGACTTCTCCTGAAGCTCTGTGGCACCCAGGTTTCCTGGCCCACGTGGGAAGGGCTTGGGAGGATGGGGAGTGGGGGGTCACAAATACAAGTTAAGCCTTACCGATGGAAGTAATAATCCCACTCGCCATTTATTGAGCATTTGGGTCCAATTCTGAGTCCTTCTGCTGACACGGCGAGGCAGTAGATGGCACCAAGTAGTCCGAGGATAACATAAAAGCGTAACGACCTAAACTGGACAGGGGTGTGGAAGGTAGGCTGGATATGGCTGTCCCCTCCCCACTCCTGGGCCAGCCAGGGCTAGCTCCACCCCCCACACTGCCCAGCTCCTCTGGAGCCAGGTGGAAGATACATTTTTGGGCCGGGGATGTAGTCGTGTAACAGAGAGCTTGAAATTCTGCAGAGGGTGCTGTGGCTCCATGAGAGACTGATTCAGAGGGGATGCTGGTGTTACTGGGGATTGAACCCATGAGTGCTCTACCAAAGAGATACATCCCCAGCACTTTATATTTTTTATTTAGGAGATGGGGTCTCACTAAATTGCTGAGGCTGGCCTCAAACTTGAGATCCTCCTGCCTCAACCACCCAGTCCCTTGGATTACTAGTGTGCACCACCACGCCTGGCCAAATCTCTTCTTAATTGGGATCTCACCGAACAGTCATATACAACACCTTCGAGAACCAGTGTAATTCCCAGACACAGCACCTGTGGGACAAGAGTCAGTGTGATAGTGTGAACCCTCCACCCCAACCCAGAAGCTGCCTATTTTGTCCTCAGGCCTTTGGACTATAGAAATACCTTATCTCTACATGTCCTGGAGCATGGTTGGGCTCTACAATACTTTATTTGCCTGCCTATCTAAACTCTGTACATATTGTAGATTCTTTAGAGTTTGGGTTTAGTATTAAACATTCCCTGTGAATCTTGGCACCTAGTAGGTGCCTTTCTGAATGGGAATCAGGAAGCTCTGGGTGGAAGGCCATGGCCACACTACTTCACACTCAATGAACTGATTGCTTTCTCTGTGTCTCAGTTGTGTCTAGTGTAAAATGGGTTTGTAAAACCTAGCTCTCAGTGTTGTGATTAGGAATGAAAGAGGTAACTGGTGGGCCTGATGTCAAGGCTGATTTACAGTAAGTTCTCCTTAGCTATAAATGTCTTCAGCAGTGGGAAGAGGTAGTGGTGTTGAAGGTCTCGTGAGCTAGGTTATGGTAGAGTGTGTTCACAAAAGCTGTGATGTGGGTTGTGGGATTTCCTAAGATCCAGCCCCTGATCTTTTTTATTCCTGTGAATTCTCACAAAGTCCATCCTCTCACAGGGAATCAGCTATTCCCTCTGCCAATAGTCACCTCCACATGCCTCTCCAAACCCAACTGCCTGAAGGATGTGTTCACTCAAAGGTCTTGATTTTCGCTCAGATTCAGTTTCAGAGTGACCTCAAAATATTTCCCAAATAAATCTCCCTTTGATTTCCTCATTCTTGTATTTGAAAAATATCACCCATCAGGTCACTTAGGCTTAACAACTCTAATCCTTTTGCACCCAGTCAGACTTCAAGTCTTCTTGACTCTTTCTTCAATAGTTCCTAAATCAATCAGTCCTTTCTCCTTCTTCCCCCATTCAATTCCTAATTAAGTTCCATTAGGAAGATGTTCTTAGCCTTCCTTCTGGTGGGAGGGGGCTTCTAAATCCTAGGAAGAATTTTGAGGCTCCTCACTCTGCCTCCAGCCTTGTCATTATGATCATAGCACAGGCCAGGTTCATCCCCCGTCCCTGGAATTCCACAGCTGTTTTGATCCTTCCTTCCCTGTTGGTCTTGTCTGGCCTACACCATATAAGGAAGCATTTTGTTCTTTTCCAGGGAAGGGGCTGAGAGTTTTAGTTCTCAGCCTCCCTTCAAAGTCTCATAGCTCTTGCCCTATGCCACACCACAGTTCACTCACATGCCACCACCAGATTAAACTTGGTCTTGCCTAGGTGTGATGGTGCACACCTTAAACCCAGTGACTCAGGAGGGCCACCGCAGAGAAACACCTGATGAGTGGAACCAAATTTCCACCAGCACTCTCATGCCCCTCTTCCAGTTTCAGGGCAATTCAGGGCCATTCTCCACCCATTGCTCACCCTCACTGGTGAGGTCACTCACTGGGAGTCCCAGGATCCACAGATATCTAGAATTGCCTCTGGCTTTACGTGTGTGTGTGTGTGTGTGTGTGTGTGTGTTGAGTTGCTAGCAATCTAATCTAGGGCCTTGCCATACTATGCAAGTGCTGTATCACTGAGTTATACCCCCAATACATTTTGTCAATTTTAAATGACCCATCTCCTTGAGAATTTTACATTTGGTCAAAGTTTTTGATTCTGTTTGTGGTCTAAGCTTCCCTGTCTTGCTCCTAGCCCTCTAATTATATTTACAAAAAGAGAAGGGTTATCATAAATTCTAGAGACAACACTGTTTATAGTTTGAATCTGCTGACTTCTGTCTATCACCATGGTCACTGGCTTATTTCAAGATACTCTCTTTCCTCCAAGACATTAGTCTCCTCTTCCTGCATCTATGACTGAACTCCTACTATTCATTCTCCACACAATGGCCAAGGGGATCTACTTGTCCAGTGGGGTGGGTAGTGACTAGAACTCTCACACTGTGCTGATAGGAATGAAATTGATACAGAAACTATAGAAAACTATTTGTCAGTATTAGCATTGAATATTTGCCAACCATAAGAATCAGCAGTGTTGGACTTGGGTTGTGGCTCCGTGGTATAGTGCTAGCTTCACATGTGTGAGGCATGGGTTTGATTCTCAGCACCACATATAAATAAATGAATAGAATAAAGTTCCATCAGCAACTAAAAAAAAATCAGCTGTTGTACTCCTTTCTAACTGTAGACAGGATGGAAATAAATACATATGTTCACCCAGGACAGCTACAGAAATATAATAGCAATATTATTTGGAATAAACCCTAACTGCAAACTATCAAATGTCCACCAACAGTAGAATGTTTAAATTACAGTTACACAATAGAATGCATAAGAAATAAAAATTTATAGCTACATAAAATATATGGATGGGCCTTATAAATATAATATTATGCTAAAGAAGCCAGACATGAAAGAACACATAGTGTATGGTTTCATTTTAAATAGAGTATTGAAGAGACCAAACCAGTTTCTGGAGGTTGGAAGATAGAATTAGCCTTGTTGTTGAGGAGTAGTACCTGGTGAGAGGCATGTGTGGGATTCTGGTAATAATGATCTGTGTTTTTTGTTAGTTCGTTTTATGAGATGGGGTTTTACTATTTTACTCATGTTGACCTGAAACTCCTAGACTTAGCCTCAAGATCTTCCTGCCTTAGCCTCCTGAGTCATTCCAATGACAGGTATGTATATTAACTGTTTTTTTTTTTTTAATAAAAAATTTTATTTTTTGTACAAAAATGTTTCATCTATACACATAAAGTTACTAAAATTGTTTTATTTATTCCACCTTTCAATATACATTATGTACCTATATAAAAAGACAATAGGAAAATAGTATAGATTTAAATACTGCATGTAGGCAAAACACACTAATGTTTATGTCTTCTAAACCTGTTTTCTGGTGACATATAAGGAAACTTGTTACAAGTCATAATGCATTCATAATCTTCCAGGAAAAGATAACATTAACACACCTATATGTGTTGATACAATGTATTTGCTGAGCTATACTGGGAAAAAGTAATATTCCTGTTTTCATTTTTGGAAGTAATTTTTAGCATATTTACACTTATTTCCCATTATTTTGGAAAACAATAAAGTTAGTAAGCTAAACTAGATTTTTAAAAAATTTTAGTATGTATCTTTATCTTAGAAGTCAAAATGTAGTAGTAGAGCTATATTCAAGGTATACAGTATAACTCTTTGGGCAAGAGATAAGAACATGAACACGTTGCCCTCCTCATCTTACACCTAAAATGGAGATCACGGCAGGTAGATGCAAATGTCCAACTACTGCCAAAGGGGTGTGAATTCTTTTCACAATGAACCTTTATAGATTTTTTTATGATAAAGCAAATAATATAAAAATATTATTCATATCACAGAAAGAACTAGAGAAAGTTAATGATACAAACTGCAGAACAAAATAATTCACACTTCTCTCTTGGGAGGAAAAGATGGCAATGATATTGTAATATTTAGTATTTAATATGAAATTTTCACTAGTTGAGTAATGGTGATTAAAACTTTTATAATCTTGCATATTAATAATTCATGAGAAAATCGGCACATATATGGTTCTTGTTGAGTCTCATACACCCTTAAAACTTTTCTCATAGGCAATGTTAAAAAATATCAACCAGAAGTACAAAGTTATCAGAAGTACTAACATAAATGCAAAAGATAAAATGCATCTGTACAATTCAAAATTTCAAAAATTATCACATTTACAAGTAAAAAATAATAGTCATACTTGATGTCATTAACAAAATAATTACTAGCCAACTGTGTTTTATTAGTCAATGGCATTTTCTCCATAAAAATAGAAGGTATATCAAACTTCTAAAACTACCCCAAAAAATCTGGAAGGCAATTTGTCAATCAAAAATATGTTTTAAAAAGGTAATTAAAAACATAACCTATTTTTATGCACAATTTTCTATGAGAAAGGGCACTTAGTGTATAGCTAAAGTTTTCAGAATAAAGATCCTTTTCACTTTCCTATTATGCAAATGATATATTGTACAGTTTAAATATAAAAATATTAATATTTGTGACAGAAAACATGAAACAGTGGTTGGTATAAAATTCCAACACCCTTTAACTTGAAAATTTTTTTTCCTCCCCTAGAGACCAAGAAAACAATACTGATTCTATGAAGTTCTGTGTTGCCAGAAACTCCTCAAATTATTAAACATTAACATATTCAGTGAAATTTTAAAAGTGAGCCCGTAGTCTTTTGTTTTTTTCTCAAAGTCTTTCAATTTCAGCCACTAAACCTTCATTTACTGAGTATCTTTCCAGCAAAGAGTGCATTTCATTCAGCTGCATATGAAACTGTTTTATCATCTCCACTTGCAAATTCACAATGTCCCTATGGCATGCTTCTCTAAAGTCATCCAATGTTTCCTGTATCATATTCCGAATGAAACGGATTTGAACAGATGTCAATGGTGCATTTGGTCGATAGTTTCCGATAGTATCAACTATTTTCTCTGAGAGTGAACTGGCAACATCAGCAGTGACAGAGGATGCTATCTTTGGATTTGGAGTTGAAGATCCATTAACTGGTGGTTCATATATGAACTGAGCTTCAAATTCTTTCTCTGGCTTTTCAAATTTCTCAAGATTCCTTGTTTGGTTAGATGATGGAGAACTATTTAGATTTCCAGTTTCAGTACCAGAAGAGATCAACTTTGCAAACTGTTTGAAGGAATCTTTAGGATCCTGTTTTCCTAGAAATGCTTTCTTAGACTCAGCTATCAGATCATGATTTTCATTTTCTTCTTCTTCTTTTTTTTATCCTTTGAACATAACTTTATTTTTTTTTTGAAATTTTTTTATTGTTGGTTGTTCAAAACATTACATAGCTCTTGATATATCATATTTCACA